TGTTCTTTTTCGATTCCAGCAAGTATAATAATAATTTCAACCATTGCATCAGCCCCTACCCTAATCTAGTCGGTTGTTTTTTAAATTGTTCTCAATTAGCAATGTAAAGTATAAATAGATATTTTATCAAGCGTTTCAATTGAAAATCTATTCATTTTCTGTTAAAACGAAATTGTTATTGTGTTTTCTGCTGTTGTTGTCGTTGTAGCTGTTCTTATTTGTGCACATGTTTCATATGCGAAAATATTTCACTGAAAAACAACTTATTTTTTTTGTTCCATATAGGTCGGTACTATTAGTTTTTATAACTTTATGCGAATTGTTGTTTTCAATATTCCACAGTTTATTTTGTCCCTTCATATTATTTTTCTGTTCGAATATATGTATAAAAGCAATTTTCATAGATCAAATAGATTTACACAATACAGTATACCTTGGTAACCTCTACTTTAAGTATAATTTTATTTCCTAAAACTACAAATAAAGAAAAAAGATTAATTAATCCCACTATTTTTCAAAATAAATATGCTTTGCTTAAAAGTTAATTTAATACAATACAAGACAAAACTTGTCATTATATTGTTAACTACGATAGTTACTACTACTACCAATAGAGTTACTTTGGCAATACATTTATAAGGATAGACGATCAACCTTAATCATATCCTTAGTATTAAAAATGGATTTTTAAGCACATAATTATTGTCATTAGGTACAATGCTTTTATCGATATTTGTATTTTTATCTGTGAATACTGAACTTCCCTTGCTTACTCATTTACTACTACTACTCTAAAAATAATACACATAGGCCCAACATATAAAAATAATAATATTAATACTAATAAATAAACCATATGCATATTATTCGATATTATAACAAATCTAAACATTGATCTTATATTTTATTGTTATTTTACATAAGTCAAGAGAAAAAATATCACATTTATACTCGCTTACAAATAACAATCAACTCTTTGACTAAGTGTAATTGTTTTTAGCTCTACCTTTTTATAACATATAATTTTTTATTTTTAAACAATATTTTTTACACAATTAGTAAAGTTAATATTTAAAATTTAACCTTAAATGTTCAATAATTTGATCGACAAATATTTTTTTTTTTCATTAGCCAACTGTACATTTTTTGAATTCTAAAATAGATTTAAATTAAAGAGTTTTAAGGCATACCTCATGTAAAACAATATTTTATTTAATGACTCATACAAATATGCATAACTTTGTGCAGTAAAATATTTAAAATTAGGTATTATTGTTGTTGAAACTCTAGTAACAATTATGATTGATCTAATCCTATCTAAAAATAGTATTTAAAAAAGTACTCATATTGCATAATACACATTAGTTATCCATGATTTTATTTTAAATCAGATACCTATTTTAAATACGTAGGTATATAGGTATGTAATATAATAAAATATAATTTTCAAATTTATAATTTTAGAGTATAACTTAATAAATTTTATATTCTAATTTTTTAATTAGAATAAAATGAAAATAAAATAACTATATGTCATAATATTATATTTTTCTTATCGTCTTATCAAGTCAAATTGAGTATCGTAGATGGATAAAAAAAATTCTCCAGGCATAATAGTATTATATTTAATATAATATGTAAACAATATATTATTTGGTTCATTAAAGAAATAAAAGTAAATAAGTTAATTGTTGTTTATTAAAAAAATAGAATAGAATAGATTGAAATAAGAAATTTAGGGTACTATTTATTAGAAAACAAAAATAACCTATTATTCCTAGGTAATCAAAATTAAAAATATTTTGTAAAGAAAAAATCACGAGCAATGTACCCAACCGACTGTAAAAATTGTTTTTTTAAAATAGGATAATATAAAATTATAATAAATGTATATTTACTAACAAACTACTAAGAATTAATACGACTCAATCGGTTAATGAATATAGCTATTTAAGCATAATAATTCAATTGTTAAATTTGAATATTACGTAAGTTTTATATTTTAAAGAAGTATAAAATTAGTCTATAAAGTTATAATAGTTATTCAAATTTTAGTACAGTAACTATTTTCATCAGTTTCTTGATTTCTTTATTGTAATTAATTAATGAATATTGCATATAGTTCAAAAACAAATGTATTAGGTACAACGTTATAAAATATTATGTTGTTGACACTAAATTTTACATACTTTATTTTTATTAAAAAAATATTGAACATAGAAAAATACTATTACTTTGTATTAATGTATATAAAAGAAATCACATATTTTTTTAACATTTTATTTGTTTTTAATATGATTTTGAAAATACAAGTTAAGCTAGTGAACACAATTTTTTTTTTTAAGAAATTTTAAAATAAAACATTAATTTTATACCCGTTAAATACTGTATTAGGAAATGTGTCTATAGTGTTATCTAGAATTAAGAAGAAGTATAGATCGTAGTAGTTTAACACCGTTTAACCGAAATATCCGTAGTGCATAAATAAATATAAAGGAGTTAGGTATTGGTTTTTAACATTAGCTTTAATCTTAACCCATATGATGTTTTTAACACGCTTATATTAGCTTCACTTGTGTGTTTGTATGTAATAACTATGTAACTATTAAAAGAGATAGAAAACCGAACGTACATGCGTGTATTCATTGTTGTTTACCTGAAGTTTTCAAGTAATAGAGACACGTATGTACTAGAATTAAAAAAAACACGATTTTAAAGCACATCGAACTAAAAAGTGGAAAATAAATATAGTTAAAAAAAACTAAAAAACACGCTTAAATAGTAAAATAAACTAAAAAGTAGAAAATAATTTTCAATATAGAAATCAATTAATAAAAAATAAATAGTATTATTGTGAATAAATAGTATTATTGTGAAAAAAGCGCGGGGTGCTACATATATCAGTTCTTGAAAAGCACCCCACACTTTTTTCACAATAATACTATTTATTTTTTATTTATTAAGTACTATTAATAGTAACTATATTTAAGTATACCTAATAATCAGCACAGTCAATTTTAAGTATGTCTACTAATTCTAAAATCACTATTCTAAAGGAAAAATAAAAAATCGTTTGCAGTTGCAGTTGTCCGTTCAGCGTTCTGACAGTAGTATAAAGGATTGCGTTCAAACTTTTTTCGGATAACACTGACTAGAGTCTAGAGATTAGGTACCTCCGACACTTCAAATAACAAAATATTTATTTATATTAAGGTTATAACATTGTAATTTAAGTAGTTAAATACATTATTTTATTTTACCTATTACTTTCTTAGTTTTCATATTAAAGTAGGTTTTATGTAAAGATTCATATCATTCTACATCATAGGTCAAACAAAAGATTTCAAAATAACTTGTCACCAAATATAACATGTTCCAAGATAATTTGATTGATGTATCGGAAAGAGTATGAAAAAGAGTAATTATCGGTGCCTTCATCTAATACAAAGAAAAAAAATTGTTATATTTATAACAGTTTAAAATAATTTTAAGTAGTTAACTTACTATTAAGCATTTCATCATATTTGAATAAACAAATCAAACTTCTTTAATCCAAAAAGTTTAAATGTGATTCAGGAAACGAATGCCGAAATTTTCTTATAAACATTATGTTTTTTAAAACAACTTTAAAGATAAGCATTTTTTTAGTTTTAGAATACTATTTTCCAATGGAATTAAACGCAAATATATTAAAAAAATTAACGTTATGTGTTAGTGTTAATATAAACAGCACATCGCTGTACGGTTATTGACTATAAAGATTTAAGTATTTCATTAGAACGGCAATTTTTAGGTTACATCATAATAACAGCAACAAAATGTACAAACTACTCACTACTGTTACTAAAACGATTCGTGGTCACTTGGTCAGACTTGTCTTGATATTGATAGGTAAAATGTTTAACGCGTTTGTATTAGTGGATAATAAAAGATAAGAATTTATAGTAATATTATAGCAGGTATAATTTACACAACTGAATTATCAAAACAAGCGTCGTATATTATCTTGTTATCTGTTGACAGTTTCAAATATTTTTATTGGAACTTGGATGTAAAGCAGCTATCGGAGCATTGACTTAAGCGTCTCTTAAATATTGCTGAAAGACCGAAACAATATTATACCCCCTACCCCGCACGTCTATTACTTCTAATGCCAATAACTTTAAAACTAATAGTTGGAACTAAGCTTGCAATATGTCATTTTTTAAAAAATAATATTATCTATCTAGAAACAAAATTATTTATAGGGGTTACCATTTGAAAATCAAAAGTTGGTGTCGAGTTTTTGAGGAAGAGGGGGATACAAAAAAAAAAAGTATTGTATAACAAGTAAGTATTTTATACACAAACAAATTATTAAAAATTTTTTTTGTAAAAATCTAAGTAGTTTTTGAGTAAAGTAGTGTAGGGTGCTAAAAGAATCACCCTGTATAAATAAATATGACAATCATAATAACATAATGATAATATTCGCCAAGCAAAATATATATTATGAATATTTATGATAAATATTAAAAAAAAAATGATATAACAAAATAAAATTTGGTATAAACGCATCGCCCTTTTATAATTTTAATAATGCAGTAAAAATATCTATTACAAATATTATACAACAAATAATGCGTATAATAGTAACTAGTATAATATATATATAAAGTATATATTTAAATAAAGTTTTTTATTATTTTGTTTTTTTAATTTTTAGTGGTAGGAAAATAAAATTAACGACAATAACCGAGCCTGCCTATTTTGTTGATTACAGTAATTATCATTGATATATTATATTAATACTATAATTGTAATTAGGTAATACAATTTTACAATATAATTAATTGTCGGCTGTACAGCACATGATTTTTCCTCTTGCCAGTTGTCAACGCAACACCGCCTTAACCAAACATCGCCGAGTTTAAAAACACACATTTTAAACAACAAAATATATAAAACTAAAAAACTTAAGATAAAACAGAAAACTACAACACAATAACTCAAAGCGGATCATGTCAGCCAAAAATTGCAACAACAGCAACAACGTAGTCGTTCAGGTGGTCGGCCCAAACGTACATTATTCGAACGACTACATTGAGTCTACTATCGACTATCCGATTAACTATGCCATGGAAAAGGGCAACACCGTTTCGGTAATATTCTATTTGTTTTTGTCATCAATTTTTACCAGTAGAATCTTGGATGAATTTTAAATGGTATCATTTTCATCGGTTTTGGTATTTCGTTAATAGTACCTACACTTCCTTGCTAATTGTCTGACCATGTTCTAAAACTCATCGTACTATTCCTATTTGACTCTTGATTCCACGTAATAAATAATACTATAGTGTCTCTCGACCAAGGTGGACCGAGCGTATTGGTACCATCGGTCAAGAGACACGGCCTCAAGCACGTGAGACGTATAAATAGCGGTAGAGAACGAGCGAGACGATCAGTATAGCCACGGCAACGGTATAGTCGTGACTAACTATAATAGCCCTGATGATAGACTCTGCAGCAAATAACCTATAAGTCAACATAATCTTTCTACATTTTTCTAAGTCATTAGACCTTATGTAATAGTAACTGTTTTTTTCCATAGGTCAAACCGACCACGACAAAACTTCGTATTCGTACCAAGAAAACAGTGCCCAAGACGGGACTCATGATGGTTGGCTTAGGTGGCAATAACGCTACTACGTTAGCAGCAGGCATACTAGCTAATAAATATGGCTATACCTGGGAATCGAAAACGGGCGTAATGACCCCAAATTGGTATGGGTCCATTTCGCAGTCTTCCACCTTACGCATTGGTATGGATGCGACTGGCAAAGATGTGTACGTGCCGTTGAAAAGTTTAGTCCCCATGATCAACCCGAACGATTTGGAAATCGACGGCTGGGACATATCATCGCTTGACCTCGGTCAGGCTATGCAAAGGGCTCAGGTGAGAAAAGCGCACTGCTCTAATTTAGTACCCATCAAATGACCATAATTTTTCCAGGTTTTAGATGTCGAGTTGCAAAAAAAACTGATGAACCACATGAGCAAGATTAAACCGAGACCGTCGATTTACATACCCGATTTCATTGCGGCCAATCAATCTGACCGTGCTGACAACGTGATCAAAGGCAATAGCAAATCTGGAGCAGTCGATCAGGTCAGGGCGGACATCAGGGATTTTAAAGAGAAAAAAGGCCTAGATCAAGTCATCGTACTATGGACGGCCAATACAGAACGGTTCAGTAACGAAGAACCTGGCCTCAACGATACGGCGGAAAATTTAATGAGGTCAATATGTAAAAATGCTTCAGAAATTTCACCCTCGACCCTGTTTGCTGTCGCTTCCATACTAGAAGGGGTAAGTGTAATTCAAATTGTTTTTTTGGACTAAAGTTGTCATATTTTTTTTACCATTTACCTACTGTTATTCATCCTATAGTGTACGTACATCAATGGATCTCCGTCAAACACGTTTGTAAAAGGCGTCATCGAGCTGGCCGAACAATATGATGTTCACATAGCCGGCGATGACTTTAAGTCCGGTCAAACTAAACTCAAGTCAGTGCTCGTTGACTTCCTCGTCGGCGCCGGGATCAAACCCGTTTCCATTGTGAGCTACAACCATTTGGGCAACAATGACGGTTACAATTTGTCGGCGCCTCAACAATTTCGGTCTAAAGAAATTTCCAAAAGCAACGTCGTCGACGACATTGTACAATCAAACAACATATTGTATAAGCCCAACGAAAAGCCCGACCACTGTGTCGTCATTAAGTATGTTCCGTACGTCGGAGATTCTAAGAGGGCAATGGACGAATACTCCTCAGAGATATTTTTGAACGGAAAAAACACCATGATTATACATAACACGTGTGAAGACTCGTTACTGGCGTCTCCGATTATACTGGACTTGGTCGTGTTGGCTGACGTTTTTAGCCGAATCGAAGTTGGGTCGGACAGTTCTGCCTACACACCTTTGTATCCCGTCTTGTCGGTGTTATCGTACATGCTAAAAGCACCAGTAGTTCCAAGAGGTAAGATAAAGTCTTATAGTTTCCATGTAGTCCAATCGATTTCCTTTTTAATAGCTGATATTTTAATCGAAATCACTTGAATACTTATTTTACAGGCGCTCCGGTCGTGAATTCTCTTTTCCGACAAAAAACATGTATAGAAAACATTCTTAGAGCGTGTTTGGGGTTGCCAGCTGAAGGCAACATGCTTTTGGAATACATGCTACCGGCCAATGTGTTTGTGAGTCCTTCTTCCAATTGCAACAACCGTGCCGACTAGACAAGTCCAAAATTCCTACAGTGATTGCAGAGCTTTAACAAAATATGTGTATTTTATACAAACTAAAAATTGTTTCAGTTATTATAAATAGTCAAAAATACATTTATGAAAATTGAATTTTTATTAGGAAAACCCCAAACTAAAGGGTAATATTACACTTTGGCGGTTGTAAGGTTGCAATGAGTAAGTGTGAATAAACAGACAAAGGCATTAGTTATAAAGTAAAATAACTATGTGCGCAAATCTGATGTAAATAGTATATCTGACTCGATAAAATCTTTTAATAATTTGTTATAATCTTCGAATTTTTAATATAAAAACAACACTAAAAAGTGCACAAAAAATAAAAAATAAAAATGGGAAATTCGAACATTGACAATCTTGTATATTATTTTATCGTTAGATCGAAGTATTTTCCTGATTAAAATTGAATACTTGATTTATGAATATCTATCTATGGCAGTTGAATAAAGACAGGGGTCGGAGGCATAGTGGTAATGGAGCATAGTTAGGACGGAGAGTTTACAGGTCTACAGGAGTTATTATCGCTAAAAATCGAAAAAATCACTTCCAATTAAACTCAATATGTGGACACTGGATCTTACATTCTTACCGCGTTGATTTTTATGTTTATGTGGTCTATTTTTTTATGTAACTTAATACAATTTGTAATAGTAAATTATTTCAAAATGATCTTTGTTGTAATTTAATAGATAAAAAAAAAAATAAAGAAACAAGCCTGTATTGTAGAAATTACTATATGAAACGCTTTTCGAGAGGGATTAAGTAAAAAAATTCTAGAATGAAGGAATAACACAAAAAACTGCTTTCAAAATAGCTATTAGCGGGGTTCTATTTTGTTAAACTGTTTTATGTATAATTTGCCGTCTTCAGATCAATATTTTTGTCAATAGATTGTATAACGCTACTGATGCAGAATATTGTTTTCCCGATTTAACAAGAATAAAATATTACATTAGTGTGTTTGGCAAATCCGATGATTTTATCACTCAGCCTTAATTTTGTGATTGGTTTGCACTAAATTTTGGATTTAGACTTGTGAATGGGCTTGGTCAATGTGACTGTATTAATGCTCACAATGTTCATAATCATCCACACGATAACTTTCTTTATTAACTTTTATGTGCATTTGCACTATATGCATAATGCATTTAATGCTATAAACATTGTTTTTATAATTTACATTCGACAATGCCCTCTTTACCAAACAACTTAATTGATTTTTATCTATCTTTTTTTTGTATTTTTACCATGCAAGTCAAGAATACTTAGACGTGGGGTCATCTTTCTAAAATAATATTTTGTTTGAGTATTTGTTTTTATTATTTTGTACAACAAAACCGCAGTTTTGATTCCAATTTACATTGCAACAAGTAAAAACAAAAAGAACTAATTAAACCAACTGAGGGGCATAGTAGGGTCGGGGAGGTTACAGGTCTACAGGAATTTTTATAACTCTGAACGTGATAAAATTCCATATTGTATTGAGTTCAGTGCCTTTCATCCTGCTGGTTACTACGATTATTTCGGTGACCGTTAGCGACGTTAACAGTTTGGTTATGAAACATTGGTGGTATTCAATCGATTTGTGTACAAATGTCGAACAGTAGTATAAGAAAACAATCTTAAATGTCATAACACCGTAACATGCGTCTTCTGAAATCGCAACAAGGTGGACCAACGTGTGATGTTATTAACGAAGCTGGCCTGCTGTTGTTGTTGGCACTGTTGTTCGGTCGTTCCGCGGTCGCCGCGTCGTCGTTGAGCAACACCGACAACAACTTGGAAAACACCGACTTCAACAACATCCTGTACAAGTTCAACGAGCTGCTCGGCTCGACGGCGGCCGTGGCCGCGGCCGCGTTCACAAGACAGTTCGGCGTGACGTTGTCCACCCCGTCCACACCGGTGGTGGCTATCAAAGATCTGGCGGGCACACCCGTTCCGGTGGAATTCGCCCACAGCGAATTGCCGGAAAACTCGGCTTGCCTTTCCGTCGACGGTGTCTGGCGTTCCATCAACTTGTACAGGGATTTAGAGGTGAAATCGTCGACCACGGTCAACTACCGGTTGGACATCCGGGTTGCAGATTCAGGGTGGACGGGAACCGGCGAGGAGCTGTTCGGCGACCGCGGCCCGATATCGGCGTTTATCAGCGACCCGGAGTCCAGAGCGGCCGCCACGTTCGTCGGCAATTGTCGAGTCGTCGGTGGCGTGGACACGATAATCGGTGGGTAACAGCCAGTTTTCCCAAGGCGTGCAAGCGTTTTTCATATACCAAACGATAAAACTGTCGGATTGGTTTAAGTTATTTTAGGCAGTGTCCGACGAAATCAAAACCGACCCAAGTAAAGTACCTAATATCCCATATTCGTCCACACCGAGTCCCATTCGAGACACGGCTCACTTTCGGTGCATAAAAAGAAACGTTTAGCCCAGTAACATATTATTTTATAATATTAGAAAACAACAATGTTTCTCCCAACATCACACAACTCGATAAAATGCATTACCATAGAAATAAAACAAAACTAACGATTATCCCCACTACTAAGACCCTGGAACTTTTTGGTACTTTTCTCATATTTAATCTCTAATCTCTTACCTCATATCTGTTATATTTTATCTCTAATCTGGTATTTCTAATATCTTATCTCTAATACATTATCTTTACTCACATTTCTCTTATCTCTCACATCTTATCTCTATTCCTATATCTCTATTTTTTTATCTCTAATCTCTCCTCTCCTTCCTTCGCCGCCGCCGAGTGTGACGTCAGATTGTGACATATCCATGTTAATTTACTAATATGTTAATTTACTGATTTCAGCGTTAATATTAAATGTGATGGCCGGTATTGTGGTATATTAGATTGTTGGGAGGCATAGCACATACTTAGGATGATGCAATAGTCGTTTTATATTAGCAATTTTAATGTTATACTTTGCACCAAATCAGTTCCGCGCTATTAGGTTTGTACCCGAATAGCCACATCAAAACATGTTCCGCTACTAATTATTAACCTAATGATTGATTATGATATGCCTTTAATTTGTAAAAAAAAAAAGAAACCTTCTCTTACGATACTATTTACTGTGATGCTACAAGTGGCTTTAGGAAACCTCTATATTTTCATAATAATTACAACTGCAAAGAAAATAAACATTTTATGTACCTATGGCATTCATAATGAAAATTATTGCTTTTGAGTATACTTACTGGCTCATATATTTTATGTGATTCAAGCGGCGTGTACTTGGGTTAGTCGCAGAGGCAAAGCCAGGATTTTATTTCGATTAGGGCTCTATAGTCTTAAAAAGTACACTGTAATTAATGACTAATACTTGCTGAAATTTATGAAAGGACTGCAGCCCCCTAAGTCCCTTCCTTCAAAATACCTTTCTGGTTAGGGGTTTTTTACGCTTTTGTTTTTATAGTTTATCTTCAACACGAGAGAGAACGACGAAATAAATATATTATTTAATCATGAATAAAAAATACCAATCTAATTCAAATCTACCACGTCCACGTTTTTTAAAACCACAAGTCAAGTTGGAAACATTATTTTCCATTTTTCTTTTTCATTTCCCCCCTCCCATTTGTTGTCGCTTGGCTATAAGTTATTGATTTTTAAGCTGTGAATAATATCGATTGTTTGGATAACGGCTAAACAGGGGTTTGGGTGTTCGCATTGCCCTATAAGAATCACATGGACCGACACTTGGGCACACAGCCGATACCCGACACGTTGCACAGACTCAGCGTGGCCGCCTGAAGACCAAGAGTACCGTAGTGTTGTTTTGCTAACAAAATTGCGCACTTTCGTATAGTCTCCTAACGAGGGAAGACTTATCGTCAACTAACGGAGAAAATTTACACGTATAATCATGTCCCTAAGACGGAATTAATTTGTATATTTTAATAAAAATGTCGTTAATTTTGGATCACGGAACCTATTAGTCTTACAATAATGTGTGATTGTTTTATGTTTGTATCTGTGTCACGATTTAGTAGAGTAGCACAATAGTCCATCGCATTTTATAGACTTCTTAGCACCTCTAAAGATCTGAAACATTGTATAATAATATTATGCGATTGGTACTTTGGCGGGTCGAAAGTTGAAAATGTCACGTTAATATTTTTTCGTTTTCAACTTTGATTTGCTATTATTTGAAGAAAAATAATCGATTCTAGTTGGTGTGTCCCTGCAGGGTAATTCGTTAAGGATAAGACACTAATTTTTTTCCAATACTTTTAGGTCATATTGTACTATATATTTATATATTTTAAACATTTTTAAAATATATCCCTTAGCCGTAAAAAATATATTAAAATATTTTTTTTAAATTGGAACACTTTTTTTTTTGTTCCATAAATTAGTAGGGAAAAAATAAAATAACATATTAGCGTTTAAGTTAGTCATTTTCATTTATCTGTTGGTTTTCTACGACTTAGTAAAGGTATTACATTTCTTTTAATAATTGCAATACTTCTGTAGTGTTTCAAAAGCCAGTAGCAGTTAATACAATGATATTTAGTACGCCTCGTCACATAAAACCGATAACCAGACAATACAAAGTATATTATGGTATCTTCACTCGCGATGCAAAGGCTGTATAAATTTCGTATCTATTAATTTCCACACAGTTTATACCTAACCTTACGTACACGTCTTGATTTGTGTTTATGTGTAGTACTGTAATATTAAAAAATTAAATATGTGGATTGTTAATACATATTACATTTTAGTATTAAGTTCTAAAATGTCTAAGTATCGCTAGGAACTTATATTTTATACTGTGGACTACAATTTACTATATATGTATTTTTTTTAGCAGGTGTTTTTTTTTTTAAAGAAAATTATTGTAAAGATATCAATGTTGTAATATCATTATGTGAAATTTGTCAGTGATATTATTATAGCATTGGTTAGCCCAAACACAATACGACGGTAATATGTTTATGATAATTCAGAGTTA